CAGGAAGGCTCTGAAGAAGGGTCCAGGCCCGAAACGTCAGCCTTCCTGCTCCTCTGATGCTGCTTGGCCTGCTGTGTTCATCCAGCTCTACACCTTGTTATCTCAGCCTTCCAGTAGATATTTGACTGACTTCTTGGTGAACTTTTTGGTGATTGATCGCTTATGCTGAATAGAAATAACTTGCGTTTGTTTAAACGAGTTAATGGAGGAAAACACCTTCCTTGTTTAATAGGACGTGGTCAGTGTTTATTGCCCTTTCTTTATTGCCCTTGAGAAGGGCATTGGGTTAACAATCAACACAAGATTATTTTGACATTAGATGAAGGGTTATCTAGCGGCTTAGCTCAATGTGAAGAATTTGAAAGGGTGTGAAAGAGCACTCCATTGGAACTGAAGTCACACACTGGCAGATTTTAATATTGCCTGTTGTGTACTACAGTCTGAGATGCAGTTCTGCCCCACGATATCTTTCTAGCTTTTGGCATGATGTTGGTGTCACATTGGTTTATTGAGCAGCTTCCACAATTCTTCAATACATGCAATAATCCACAGCAGACACAAGGGTTTGTCTACATTCTACATTGGACACAATCAGCTAAGGTTATTGCTGCTGGAAAGTGCACATTGACAGACATTGAGAACTAACTTGGCTACATTAACTGCCTAGCACTTAGTATGTGGACTCAAACCTGAAACGTAACCTTTCAGTGGTGGGCGTTATGGGAGAACAGCTACCTTTTGTAGTCCGAACAGTGTGGTGAATGGAACAAAATGGTAACTCATTGTCACTTGTATTTTTACAAATACTAAGGAACTGTTCTTTATCACTGAAGGTTGAAGAGTTCACTGAGTATCAATGATAAATTTGAGAGAGTGTGAGGGAACAAAGACTCAATCCAATGTAAGGACTCAGAAATAATACAATAAGACTGTAAGACTCACTATTTCTGTGCATTAAAGCCGAACTGGTGTATTCATCTGATGTAGAATTACAAATACAGTCTCTAATTAAAGATTCAGTAGTTTGTAAAGTTTAATACATAAGAAAATTGCTGTAGATAAAATTGACTACTAATAGTTTGCATTCGGGAGAAAAGGTGTCACTGAAATGCATGCACTATTGCTTTTGAGAGTTACACAGTGCATTGTTCAATACTTATTGAGGTTCAAAACATAACCATAGAATTTTACAGTGTAACAGATCCATCTCGTAGTGCTGGTTTGCTAAAAGAGCTTTTCTCCTAATCCTTTATCCTCCATACCCTTTTTAATAGATATGTACAGCCAGCTTCATGCGACATTTGCAAACACAGTATTGCTCAGTACAGTGCTTCTTTTCAATTACTTTTCCATGACAGTAAGTGGTTAGCTGGCAGTAACATATTTTGTTCTGTATAGCAATGTTGTAATAATGGTGCTGTGTGCTTTCTCCTCCTCTGGAAATTGCTCCAAGTTTTTAGTGGTATCAAACCCAGGAACTCCCATTGGGGAGAATACATTCAGCGCTAATCCTACTAATGTATAGGCACAAGACAAGCATTATGTGCCTGTAATAACTTGCTAATTGTTTTGAAGTGACTTGTCACCACAATTAGTAGTCAACGTGCCAATGATATCACAATACTTTAGAATATCCAAAAGTGATGAGAAATCGTGAAAAGAATTTTTAACAATTTCATTTTGGCTATATATGAAAACAGTTCCATATATCTGTATGTGCTTGTGTTATCACATATGTGCAGTTGGTGCAAAGTCTGGTGTTTAACCTTACTAGTAAGACTGCTAGATTTTTAACTCTCTGGAAGAATGTGGTCCCAGAAAAAATTAGATTGTAAATTACCCAATGGCTAAATAGGTATGACCGTGAGGAGATTAGATAAATATCTGATGAAAAATATTGAAGGCAACAAACGTGATTGTTTACTTGAATGCGCGAGTGAGTACTGGTGTTATTAGACAGATGGTTCTTTTGCACTGATTGTTATTTCTGTATTGAAATGTTCGATATCATGTAATCACTTTTTGATTAATGCATGGGAAAGGTAAATGAAGGTGAGAGTCTTGTTCACTCTGCCTGTAGTCCAACCAGAAAAACGAGTAAATATTGATCAAGGACCTCAAAAGTAAAAGTTGAAACAATCCGAGAAGAGTAAAACCAATAGAGTGAACAGAGATTTGGAATAAGTAATTTGGTTGTACAGTACTACCCATTTATTCACTTTTTTCTTCCTTGATTGAAAGATTATTTGATCATTGATTCAGTTGTTGTCAGTGGAACTTTGTCTTGCACTTATATTGCAGACGTGATTGCCCTACAGATGTACTTAATTGGATGTGAAGCACTTTGGAACATCTGAGTTTGTAGACTGTGCTTTAGAAATGCACAAAACCAAAAGAACTGTGGATGCTAGAAATCTGGGGGAAAAAACCCGGAAATATGTGGAAAATCTCAGCAGGTCTGGCAGCATCTGTAGAGAGAAATCAGTTAACTTTTTTAGGATAAAAATATCTTTTTTACATATAGTCACTAAAACACTTCTGTTCTGCACAGTAGTATATGGAGAAACAAACAACTTCGGAATTTGACTCTTTCCAACAAAACAAACCAAAGGCATTTCATACTTATGCAAGGCTATATTAACATACATTCGAGGCACTGGGAGGGTTCAAGTTAGCGTTTCGGGTCCAGTGACTCTTGTTCAGAACTGATGGTAGCTAGGAAAATTATGGTTTTTAAACAAAAGATGGAGTGGGGGGAGGGAAGGGAATAAACGATAGGTGGGGATAGAGTCCAAAGAGAAAGAGAAACAGTTGAACAGACAAAGGAGTGGATAGTGGTCAGCCTGAGAGAATGAATAGCTGCTACTGGGGACTATTAGTGGTGGACAATGACTAGTGTGTGGTAGCAGCCCATGTTGTGGCCTGGTGTGTGGCAATAGGGGAAAGCCTGGGGAAAAGTGCTCAAGCCATAAAATTGTTGAACTCAATTTTTAAGTCCAGAAGGCTGCAGGGTCCTCAAACGGAAAATGGGGTGCTCTTCTTCCAGCTTGTGCTGAGCTTCACTGTAGCACTGCACACTGGTGGTGTGTTGAAGTGGCAAGCAACTGGAAGCTCAGGGTCTTTTTTCCAGTTTGTTTCTCCAATGTAGAGGAGACCACATTGTTAGCAGCAAGTACAATAGACTAGATTGAGTGAAGTGCAGGTAAAGTGCTATTTCACCTGGAAGGTAAGTTTGGGACCTGGGGGATAGTGAGGAAGAAGGAAGTAAATTGATAGGTGTTACACCTGCTGCACTTGTTCAATAATGCCCTTTAGGGAAGGAAACTCTCATCCTTACCTCATCTGACCTACATGTGACTCCAGACCCACAATGATGCGGTTGACTTTCGACTACCCTCTGGGCAATTAGGGATGGGCAATAAATGCTGCACAGCCAGGAATGCCTTCATTCTGTTAATGAATAATGGAGTTGCAAGGGAAGATACCATGAGGCTGTTAGGGGTCTTGGGGTGGTTGTTGGGAGTGAAGGAGGAGTGAACCAGGGTGTCCTGGAGGGAATGGTCCTTGTGGAAGGCTGTTAAGAGAGGGGAGGGGAGGAGAAGGGAGGGAAATATGTTTGGTGGTTTTCCTCTGGAGGTGACAGAAATGGTGGCTAATGATCATGTGGATGTGGATTCTGGTGGGATGGTAGCTGAGGACAAAGGGGACTCTATCACTGTTGTGGGAGAGAAGAGAGGGGGTAAGGGCTGAGGTGCGGGAGATTGGTCAGACAAACGGCTGAGGGCCCTGTCAATTAAGGTGCTGGGGAATCCTCAGTTGAGGAAGGAGGTGGATGCGAGACTCCCTTGTCGAAGTTGACATCATAAGAACAGATGAGACGGAGGAACTGCGAGAGTGGAATAGAAGCTTTACAGGAAGCAGGATGTGAGAATGTGTAGTCAAGGTAAGTGTGGGAGTCAGTGAGATTGTAGTCCC